GTCTCAGATGAGCTTCCACATGCCTCTGAAGAGTTGACACTTGGCTGTGATGGCTGAAGTTCCAATTGATCAGTAGAATGTGATTTGCAGGATTTGGGCTTCATGATTATGCCCTTGACTTCGTCTAGCCCATCGAATGCAATGAAAACCTTGTCAGGATTTGACTGGATATACTCAGTAATCTGAGAAACCGTTGCTGGATTGGTTTTGTCAAGATAAGACTTTGCAATCTCGCCAATAGTGTGTTGCTTAAATTCACGTAGAGGAACAATCAAGACCCACACAAAGTGACTGAAATACCTCCCTTCAATCCAGTCCCAGGCAATCTTAGCACAAAATGTAGTTTTTCCAGCCCCTGCCTCTCCCTGAACCACGATCCGCTTGGGGAACGCTCCATTGACTTTGAGATAATCTTTGTAATCTATTGTTTGCTTGCCAGTTCCATCCTCTTCTTCCAATACAAGATTTGCATATAGCTTTTCAAAACCCACAAGAGAAGAAGGCTTGAGAGGATCAGCTCTGATCTTACAGATAGTTGACCTGTACTTGAACTTGAAATCATTTGCACACCGCTCAACCAGTACAGGAGAAAGTGGTTTGGTCTGAGATCCAGCTGAAGGAGGTTTGGTCTGTGATTCGAGCATTCTTGATGGCCCTCCTAAAAATACATAGATAATCCATATTCACATGATTACACATAAACATGTATTTTGATACATCTGAAAAGATTTTAAAGACAATAGGCCAATAGTCAATAGTGTGACCTACAACTGGGTGCATGCACTCTTGTAAAGACACAAAGTCCTACATGTTTGTCTGGATTTGTATGAAGTCAATTATGCATCCGTGCATGGGCAGATGCATCATTATAGTTATCATAATGAGATGACTCATCAAAAGAATATAATTTGTTTGTAGATCATGTACACATAAAGAAAGCTGACAAACATTAAATTATGCTGTCTCTCAAAGAACTTGTACTATACTGGTGTACAGAAAATATCTAAAATTAATAAAGTTAAATTAGTAAATTATAAAAACATACATGGGGCCTGATAAAATTTTATACTTCTGTAAATTGTGGCAAATGTACATGTATAGAACACAGAGCATCATTCACTTTATCTAGATGGTAAAAACTGACTTTACTTTTATGCAATGTTTTCTATATTTTCTGTTAACATAGCAAGACTGCAATAACTGATATCTGTTTACCTGTGCTGTTTGGTTCATTGAGTAATCTGTCTGATAAGCCACCCAAGTCAATCTCTCGTAGTTTGTCTGCCAAAAGCTGCCGTTTGTTTGAGTGTGGAGGTTGCTGCATGACATTCCATTTCATGAATACATCAAAAAATGCGTTGGTATGGCTATTTGACTTCTGAATCAGGATGTTCTCTAGCTGAGCATAGGAGAAACCTAGAGATGTCCCTACAGCGTTGTAGTAAGATGGTTGGATATCCTTGGCCAGCTTCAGGAACTCCATGTCACTGACAGTACTGTAAAATGAGTAATAAATCAATTGGGTACAATAGGATATTAGTTAGAGAAATTGCCTGAGAAAATATAATGTGATACTCAACAATTTGTATTACATACGTGCTTGAGCATGCAATATAAAACAGCCTAGGGATATTAGAATATAATGCCTGTGATATTAACATTTGAAACATATTGCCCCAAGGTCAGGGCAGTATTGTTCTGACAAGGGTAATCATTTTTTTTTTAAACCAGAGTTAGGCAGTATCGGTAAATACAATAATGATATGATGAAAATAATAAGAAGAAAAGGATTACTACTACATGTACTTGTCAAAATAATGATGTTTACATGTACTATCATCACAACAATTGATGATGATGATGATGATTATGATTATTATTATCATTATTATTAATTTTACAATTATCATCATCATTATTGTTATTATTCTCATTATTATTACCTTCATCATCATAATCATAATCTATATCATGCAGAATACATGTAATCACTATAAGTTTGTTCTATAACATGATGATTTTAAGTGTCACATTGACTCATTCACGACAATTGACCACGTTGTGTGGTTTGCCTTGTTTAAGAAGGTTGAGTTCTGGGAAAGGTGAAGAAAAAAATTGTGAGCTTTTTCACATTTTTATGTTAGTGTGGAAGAGTATCATAGAACAAAATCTTCCCTGAAAAAGACAGCTCTTCAAATGCCCTCGTTTTTTTTAAATGACAAATATTTTGTTTTTGACCACATGCACTTTCCTGCTGCCATGTTTGTGGAGTCCCAAATACGGTACACATTTCTGTGTCCAGCTAGTACATTATACAAATGATGTACAGGTTTGAGTGCGTCGGTAGGGATTGTGTGCACAAGGTACCTTTGAATTGTTTGAACCCACGAGGCGCAGCCGAGTGGGTTTTAGACCAAATTCAAAGGTACCGCGTGCACACTATTCCACCGACCCACTAATTAAACCTGTGCATCATCTGTTTTTTATTAGATGAGGCCCCCAAAATTGTCAAAAATACAAAATTTTGTTATTTTACAGATTTACAGGATGCATGGCAAAATCATGCGTCCGGTAATTTTTTTTACCAGACGCATGATTTTTTTTTACCGGACGCATGATTTTTTTTTACCGGACGCATGATTTTTTTTAACCGGACGCATGATTTTTAACTCATGAAATTTAAAAAAAAAAAAATTGTCATTGCACATTAAACTGTAAACTTAAAAAAAAAAAAAAATATTCTAAAATTATAGAATTTTTTTTTTTTTTTTTAAACAGATTATAATTTTCAAAAAACACGAAAAAACAAATAATTATTACCAAAAAAAAAATTATATAAAAAAAAATTATAAAAAAATTAAAAAATGAGAATTATTTTTAAAAAATGGATATCGTGCATCCAGTAAAAAAAATTACATGGTAATTGACCAATCAGATTGCAGGGATTCTTCTACCCATCTTATAAATAACTTTTAGCAAGACTGGGCAAAATTATCATTCTGACAACTCCAATACCTCACAGTATACTTATGTGCTTCATGATCAACCTTTCCAATCGCTTCCACACCATTTCTTTTGCAATGCAATCACAGAACTATAGGTCCCTGTTTCATAAAACTTGTTATCAATCAAAAATGCTAAATTTCTATGACATTTCTGATCTCAGGCTCTCAGCATAACAAAGGCCACAATAGACCAGTTCACGGTTAGCACATCTCTGCAATGACCCCGAATATCCACAGACCTTCAAAACATGAAGAGGTCCCACTTTGTACATTTTGAAATAATAACTCCTACAGCGATGGAGGTGCTACAATATAGCCTTTGTTTCCCCTTTTCAAAGAATACTTCCACCTGTGTATCATGGAGTGCACTGCCTGTGCATAAATAAATATTGATTACATAACTTCCATGAGCACATATCCGGTATTTCGTCTCCATGTCTTTCACAATATATTCTGCAATGACCTTTATCTGCTCTTGCTCAGACTGCAACCGTGAACTTGCTTATTCTAGTAGCTTATAACAAGGTTTATGAAACAGGGCCCAGAACTCAACGTCATTGTTAACCCTGAAGGCGCTACTAGTATATGCATACCTTACTGCAGTGTTAGGACCTGGATTGGTTTCAACGTCACCAGATCTCATCAAGAGGATCAGGAGCAGATAGAGAAGGCAGAATCCATCCATGGTGTAAGATGTCCTTCTCACTCGACAGAAATGTTGTCCTCTGGAAAATGGTGATATGACATGGGCGACAATATCTGAAAACAATATATAAAAGTATAGATATTACGTACATAAAACAGATGGAATAACTATCCTTCAGAGTTTCAATTCACAACATCTATTTAATAATAGCTTAAGGTTTTGGGGGCTTTCGAGTTTCGACGCCATAAACATTTTGCCCTTGTCTCGTGAAACCCGTCCTTGGGAAGATTGGCTGAGACCAGCCAAGCAGCAATGCCTTGCTGGGTTAATATTCACAAAATGCTGTATTTGGGCAGAAAACAATGATTTGGTGATTTTTGTTTTTGTAGTCGACAATCAGGGCACCCAGGTTTCTTTCCCAGCATGCAATGAGCGTCATCATGTATTGCGCGGTCTACACCATATAGGTCTATAGAGATCCCAGGAGTGCATTCAAGGCTCCTCGGCCCAGCAGTGGCAAGAAGAGGCACAGGAATGGAATCAATTTAATAGATAAATCTTTGTTAAGTGCCTCGTTACAAATTATTTCATTCACCGGTTACAAATAATTTTATTTAAATAGTCAGAATGTGAATTGCATACATTATAGTTGTCGCTCCATGTAGGTAGGACAAACATTATTTCTTGTCCTAACTAACAACATATGGAATAGTCTACATGCAATTTGCATTCTGACTATCACTATGAACATGACGGACAAAATTTACTGTTCCTCATTCTACCCTCAACAATTGCTGTGGTAGATAAAGGAACATCCCTTCACTGCTATTATGTAAAAATAAGAAGCACAGGTGAATACATGCGACACGTACAGTGTAGCTGTTCTACACATTTTACATAATAGCAGTGAAGGGATGTTCCTTTGTGAATGAGGAACTGTATATTTTGTCCGCTTTCTTTGTCCGTCACGTTTAACAGGTGAATGAAATGCTTCTAACAAAGATTTAGACCCTATGCATTAAATTTACTTCCATTAGTCTAGGGAGGCCAATGCCCAAATCTAACTTTTTAATTACTAATTTGTTTATACTAAAACTAAGATTAAAAGAAAGCATTTACTTTCACTAAGAAAATCCACCCATCTGCCGACTCCAGAAGTTCCATCAAATAGGAGATATCCAGCTCTTTTTATCCAGCTTCCTTCTACGCCTTTCCGTACGTAAGAGCCTTGAAACAATTATATTTCATGTCGCAAAGTTACGTTCATAATTAGACAGGCCCGAGGGACAAAGTTCATGATGAAGTTTAAAACTTCGAGGTCGCACACGTACACACCTTCTTCTTCTTATGCCTAGTTGACACTTTCACGATTTTCGGTTCCCGCATAGTTCACGCACTGAAATTGCATCATGCGTGCCAATGCGTGGACACTTGCGGGAAGGGGCGGGACGATGCGCGGCAATGCGCGGCAATGCGTGAAGAGCGAAAAAAATTTTCAACATGTTGAAAATTTTGCCACGCACTTCCCGCATTGCAGCAGTGCGTGAACTGTGCGCAAACTATGCGCAAACAAGTCGTGCCAATGCGTGCCAGTGCGTGGCGTAAAAACAGTGGGTACCCCACCCCCGGGAATGTGGCACGCACTTCACGACTAGTTCACGACATGGTCCCGCATAATTTGCGCAGTGGTTGCGCATCCTTCGCGCACTTTCACGCAAGGATCGCGCATATCAGTCACGTGATACGTTTTGTCAAAATATTCTTGTTTGAGCCAGCAGCAAAATCATGGCTTCATCCTCCTCATCAGATAATGATGGGACAGAGAACACAGAGCATGAAGAGAAAACTAAGCGAACAAAAAGAGCACGTACATCTAAAAGGGATGTCCCAGAGTACAAGTGGACCGAAGACGCTGTTCAATTAATAGCCGATTTTGTGAAGGAAAATTCAGCACTATATGATAAGACCCAGAAAGATTACATGAATGTTGCTACGAAGGGAAGGATGTGGGCGAATGGCGGTAAATTATTGGATCCACCTGCCACTGGTAAGTTCTCAATTTTGATGGTTGGTTAGTTAAGTTCCATACCCATGTTTTAAAAATCCTCCTTTTGTTTTTTGTTGTCTGCATTACTAGTTAATAAGAAAGTAATTTACTGGGAAAATAATTGTTGATATTTTCCTTTATAGAAATTAAATGTTTTTATTTTTTATTTTTAGGGTTAAACTTCACCACACAAATAGCCTATTTATTGTTTTCCTTGTTTTTAATGTAGGGGACCAGTGTAAGAAGTTGTACGAAAATAAGCGAACTCGGCTAGGAAAGATATTGAACAAGGAGAAAAAAAGTGGATCTGGGCAAACCAACAGAACGACACGTGATGATGAGATAGTGAACACGTGGGGATTTCTGAAGCAACACATTGTTCGTGGCAAGACAACGGCAAGTGACACGGTAGGTATATAAATGACCAATTCACAATTTTTATATTGAAATATTAGAATAACCTTGAAATAACCTTCAGAACCCTTTTCATAATTTTCATTTTGATGTTTCTTCACCTTGCAGTTTGATAGAGAAGGGGAAGTGCACGAACGAGAAGATGATGAAGTTTCTATCATGTCAGTTTCAGAAGATATGGATAATGAGACCTTGATCCCGTTGAAGGATCGGGTCCCAAAGTCGGCACCACTGGCGTACCTATGGGGGGGGCAGGGGGGGCAGAGTGCCCCCCCTGACGGGCTCCAGGGGAAAAAAAAGAAAAAGGGGAAAGAAAAGAAAAGAAAGGAAAGGAAAGAAAAAGAAAAAAGGAAAAGGGAAAAAAAAAGGAAAGAAAGGAAAAAAAGGAAAGAAAAAAGGAAGAAGAAGAGAAAAGGAAGAAAAAGGGACAAGAAAAGGAAAGGAATAAACATGGGGAAATTTTTTAAAAAAGACCATGGCCATACGCACCAGGGGGGAGGGGCAGTTGACCCCAGATATTTTGAAAACGTACAGTTTTTTCCTGAAAATGTAGTGTAGGCCTATACCAAATCCTTCAATTCTACTTTTGAAAATGCAAAAGCACCCTCATGACCAGTTCGGTCGCTCGAACTCCCTTCACTCCTTTTGCTTTTGAGATTCTTCGAAAACTTTTAACGCATCTTTCCCCCTCCCCCACCAGAAAAATATTCCGCATACGGCCCTGAAAAATTAAAATAGGAAAATATAAGTGATATAACAAATTCGAAACTCTTCGTTGGCGCGAACTGCTTGCTAGCCTATTTTGTATTAAATGTTTTCACTTGCTCGTCCCCCTGAAAAAAGAAAAGGATTAGTATTGCCTAGAATACAATTGTGCCTGCCCCGACGGGCCCCGACCTGCAACCATGGCAACAATAACACACAATATATGTACCAAATGTTACTAAAAGAGACTAATTCATTTTTCTCGCTCGCTACACTCGCTCGCGAATAAAATGAATAGACATTGCTTTGGAAACAATTGTGCCCACCCTTGACCTGCAACAATATCATTAAAAATGGAAGAGTTTTTTCGCCCTCTCGCCAAAAAGGAATTGAATCGCGTTAAACGCGATTGCGTCCATCCTGACCTGCACCAATAAAAACAAGTTTATTTATTAATTTCTATTAAAAGAGACTTAATTTGTTTTGCTTGCTCGCTATGCTCGCTCGCCAAAATGGAATTGACACCGCTAACGTGCCCGCCCCAACCTGCAACAACCAGTTAATAATTATGTACCAAACGTTATTCAAAGAAGTTTTGGTGTGCTCGTGCTCGCCAAAACGGAATTAACATCACCTTAGACATGATTGTGTAAGCCCTGCCCTGCAACAAAAAAATCTGAAATTTATGAACCAATTATCATTACAAAAATTTTGCTCGCTCGCTACGCTCGCTCGCCAAAATAGAAATAACACAGCTTTTAATAATCACGTCCCTGACATGGAACAATGAACCCAAGTTTATATACCATATTTTCCCTATAAAAGAGAAGTGATTTTTTTTTGCTCGCTCGCCAAAATAGAAATAACACCGCTTTTAATAATCACGTCCCTGACATGGAACAATGAACCCAAGTTTTATGTACCATATTTTCCCTATAAAAGGAAGTGATTTTTTTTTCGCTCGCTACGCTCGCTAGCTCGTGGAATTATGTGCCCACCACTAACCTGCTACAATATCATTAAAAAGAGAAATGTAGGGGGTTGCCTGCCCGCCAAAATGGGATTGACATTGCCTTAAACACGATTGTGCCCGCCCCCTACCTGCAACAATGAAACAAATTTTATATAGCAATTCATTGAGAGAAAGATGTATTTTCGCTCGCTAGCTAAAATGGGTATAAAATCACCCTATACACAATATTGTTCCCGCGCCCTGCATGCATGGGACAATTGAACCAAGTTTAAGTGGCAATTCTTAAAAAAGAAGTGATTTTTTTTTTCTTGCTCGCTACACTCGTTTGCAAAAAAAATGAAATTAACGTCGCTAACAAGTGAATGTTCCCACCCCCAACTTGCAACAATACCAGTTTATATACCAAACGTTACTTAAAGAATTTTTTTTGCTCGCTCGCTCGCCAGAAGTGAAAATTAGCATCGCCTTTTTTGTTTGTTTCGGTCGCTTGCCCCCCCCCCCTTGACGGAGTACCCCAGGTACGCCACTGGTCGGCACGCTCCGAAGCCTCTGGAACTTCTGGCAGTAGAACTCCAGCTTCTCGATCAAGTACTGTTTTGCAGAATAACCTCGACGATGCTCTCCGTCAGGTAGGCATTATAGAACTTTTTTTTTTTTTTTTTTTTTTAAACAATTGAATACATTACCTAAGCCGGATCCGCTTTCAATAGTTCCATTTGGAAACTATAGAAATTAATTCACAACAAAAAGTATCATTGAAAATTAATTCTTCGACAATCGATCTAAATTTGTTGAGTATATGGCAGTAAATGACAGTAATCAGACCCTGACTTTAATTGCCTTACTAAATTACATTTGGTTATATTGTTAATGCCTTTCAGGTTCTTTCAAGAGCGGATAATTTGGGCCAGACAGCTGCTTTGACAGGTCAAAAAAAGATCGTCCATGATTTTGCCTGTCTTCTGGAGGGCCATATGCAGAAAATTCCAGAGCAATCGTGGCACAGTTTCCAAATTGAATGTCTGCAACTCGTTCACAATTTCAAACAGCCAACCAGGCCAACTCAACCATGTCAACAGCAACCCTCGTCATGGCAGTCAAACCAGTGGCCAATCAATAGTCATTGGTCCAATTTCAATCAATGGTCTCCAGCAAGTCCATCCTTCAACAATGTTGGGATGCCAGCCGCGCCTTCAGCTGTGCCTGTACCGATACCAACGTCTTCTCAGCAGTCCACTGCTTCGACCCCACCCTCCCGACGTAGTAATGAGATGGTTTCCTCGGTTCTGGAAGAGCTTGGAGAAGAGAAATAATGTGTTCAACAGCAGCCGGTCATTAAGAAAAGGCAATACTGGTTGCAAAACTAACGTCTTCCATATCGGGACACTCTTTCAGTACTTACCTTAATTCTTACATGGTAAAAAAAAATAAAAGTAAAAAAGAAATTGTTATTTGTTGTTGCCTTTGCAAGGAATTTTATTAAAAACCCACTCGGCAAGAAAACCATTTATTTATACATTTGGAACAGAGGTATAATATTTTCTGAAACGTAAACCAGAACTACACACTGAAGAGCAAGGGTAAAATGTGACAGTTTGATCAAAGTCGGAAAATATATTCCAGATTTTTGAATGTTCTGAGTTCCAGGGAGAGCTTCGATGGATATTCTCGATTTAGACATTTTGACATATACTCATACATGATGCTTTTATCAAGAAACAAAATGAAAGGTTTACTGAGTGGAAGATTAAAGTTAATGCATCTTTTTGGTTCCTACGTTTTTACATTTGTTCTAGTAGTTGATTAGTTCATGTTACTCACTTGTTACAACTTTAAAGTGTTCAAAATATCATTGAGAAATCTTGGTAATTATAACATGTCTATAAGGTAGTTCAAATTGGAGATTCAGTTGTCAGTCACCATGAAACTAAACGTTATCCTGCAGACTTATTTCCTTTTCTTCATCACACGTTATTTAAATTGCATTTATGTGAGCATATCCTGAATGCCTAAGTTTTCTACTCGGTTATGTTTCTTTTATTAAAAAACACGCAATTCGTGCATTCTGATTGCTTCTGATTACAAGTCTCTTATTACACACAAAAAACAAAACATGTAAAGTTGTTTATATTAAGAGTAACATATTGACAAATCAAAGGCTAATCAAAGACTGCAAAGATAGGTGAATATCAAGGCCTTTAATAAAATGGATAACTATAAGCACTTGATATTTTTCATTGGATTTCAAAAATGATTGTTAAGTTTCCGCACAATTCGTTCAAGTGCACCTATTCATACGAGATAACACCGTCAACTGTTTGACTATTACATATATACATATGTTAATAGCATCTTCTTAAACGATGTAAAAGCATGATCGTATCAATAAATGATATTCAATTTCCCAGTTTTTCCTATCTCTCACAGATGTTTTGTGTAAAATATGATTGATGAATGGATACAATAATTCATTAATAAAGCGCAAGCTGAACGTCTCCAACGTCAGTCTACCGTCTGATCCGCGTTCAGGAAGCGTTTTTAATTTTCAAAAACGCTGGGCCGACGCAGGCTAAAAACGCAAAGGTGTGACACAGCCTTAACACGTGACTCTTGGTCACGTGTCATGACGTATGTCATGCACTTCCTGTCTGCTATAGCTTATTATAACTTTTTGTTTGTAAGAATCCGTTTTAATCCATGAGTGGTTATTTTTCAAAACATTCAAAAGGTTGAATCAATAAATGTATCTGTACCCGTGTTTATATCGACCCCCCAAAAAACCAAACTGTTCTTCTTGCGTTAAAGGGTTGCAGAGAAGTGCATGGCATACTTCATGCCACGTGACCCAGCGTTGCCAGTTAGCATGATAAATAACTTTTGCGTTATATTCATAACTTTCTTATTTATTGTCCGATTTACTTCAACGTTTTTGCTTTTGTTTTAATTGTTTTGTTTTTCGTCTGATTTATCTGCTTTTAATCAATACAAGATTTTTTTCTGGTGCGGACCCAGTCTTTAAATGTGCGTTCGTGTGTGTGTGTGTGTGTGTGCGTGTGAGGAGTGGGGTTTGTGCAAGCTTACTAGAAATACGAAATTTCTACATATGCCCCGACACCAACTGCATCACGTTTAAGTTCAACAACAAAGCTTACCAAAACCCCTTAATTTCCTGACAACATTAATTGCTGATACACTGTAGAATTTTTGTGTACATAAAGACAAACACATTATAAACACTGATCTCATATCCTAAGTTTAAAATCAGATGTACAACAGACGGTTGATATTGGAACGATGTCGGGCCTTGTTGAAATACATAACCATTCAAGAAATAAAATGTCATTTGTGTCAGTGTCATTGGCATTTTTTGTGGAATTGAGCTAGTGCTATACTGCATCACAATAATGTCATAGTTAATCTGCTTAGGTTATCATCTTTTCTTGCCAGGAAACTGCTCCAGCGCGGGAGGTGTAATAATGTGATAGATATGCACGTTGGCTCTTAGCTCCCTTGATAGAAGTGTTTCCTGTCGGAGCTCTCAGACCTTGAAACACAGGGTCGTCTCTCCATGCACCAGGTATCATCGCATGCGTAGATGGATCTTCATGGTCTACATCTCCTGATTCCAGTGGGTACCTGGTTAATATCAGATTATGTAGGACGCAGGCACTCATGATGATTAAGTTGGTAGTTTGGGGCTTCTGCGGAAGTGTAGTCAGGAAACATCTGAACCTAAATCAAGTAATACCATAAAACAAGAGCCCATCAATATGAAATATATATATATTTTTTACGATCTGTACATATGAATCTTGATTTTAAAATAATCACGCTTCATTTGGAGTAAAAACAAAATATTGTACTTGTTATTTGGAGAAACTAGATATACTGAATACTAAAGAAAAAGATCACTATAATAAATACAAACAAAATGAGAGCATCTGCTTAGTGTATCATTTCAGATTTGTTAGCAATTGCAGTCTCGCATGGTATTTTGTGCGTAAGCTGCAGAAATAGCAACATGTGTTGATAAAATAAACACCATATAAAAATTCTACGTTATGCTGGTTTAAACAAGTGGGTTATTATGATAACAACTCCTTTCTGGGGGGAAGTTAAATATTTTTATTCAATGTGCTTGAACTTTTAAAGCAATAGGCACTGAGAATGGAAATGAATACAGAAAGAAAGGGAGACCTACCTGTGAGCCAAAATACCAAACGAGTTTTCCACTACTCGCCTAGCTCGGCTTAGTCTATAACTGAAGATGATCTCCTCATGAACTTGGGACCTATGTGAGAAGGGCTTCATTAGCCAGGGCTTCATCGCAAATGCATCGTCAGCCACAAATTGGAAAGGTATGGGCATGTCATCATTGGGCATTGGTTCCGGTGGCGGCACCCCTGCTCTTTCCCCTTCTATGGCATCATACAAGTTGCAGTTTTTCCAAGTTCCACCATCTGAAGAGCCACCCTCTGCTCCAACATCCACATACAGAAACTTATATTCTGCATCTGCTACAGCCATGAGAACAATACTATGGAAACCTTTATAGTTAAAGTACAAGGACCCAGACTTTGGCGGCTTCCTGATTGCCACGTGTTTGCCATCGACGGCACCAAGGCAATTATGATAGTTCCATCTGGAACTGAACTTCTTGGCCACATCCTTCCACCCATCTTCAGTTTTTGGACAGCTGAGTACTTCCTTTTTATACACTTCAATGAGTGCATTACATACTTCGGGAATAAATCTCGATATGGTGCTTTTCTCAACTCGAAAGCTGTACTGTAATGTAGCATATGAATTTCCTGTTGCCAAGAAACGGAGAGTGACGGCTAGTTTCAGTCCAACTTCTAGTGGTTCTCGCATAAACGTTGTTTTCTTCTCCAGATGAGGCGTTAGCTTTCCAACCATTTCCTCAAACAGATCAGGAGTGATTCTCAAGAAATTCTTATAGCTCTTTTGATCCTCCCTATGCAGCTCTGCCAGTAAATGATCAAAATGTCCGTGGATGTGGCGTCTTGACAGCCAATCTCTCACCCACAATGTCCTCCTTTTTCTTTTTCCTTTTTTCTCCTCTTCTCGTCTTTCTTCAAGATCTCTTTCTTGTTGATAAACTATTAATGCTCCTGCAGCTACATATAAACACCTTCTCTGTTCTAAATTAGCTTCTTCAGAATTCAACATCTTAATGACGATAGTTATGCTGAATTAATGAAAAACACGAGAGCGAATAGACGTCTGTCTTGTTTTTTGTGATAGTTAACACAATGCGCAAACTAGTTGTGATTAGTCGTGAACTATGCGTGAACTATTCGTGAACTATGCGTGAACAATGCGTGAACAATGCGGGAACTATGCATGACAGTGCGTGTCACTGAAGTGGCACGCACTGTCACGCACTGGCACGCATTCAATGCGGGGCAGTGCGGGACCAAAAATCGTGAAAGTGTCAACTAGGCATAGTTGATCCCTCCACCGACACAGGCAAGCCCCGATGCAGGCTGAAGTCCAGCCATCAATGTGCGAACGATTACATCTTCTACTACTACGAGCCGAAGACGATGGTTCAAAAAAGGAAAGAAATATATATAATTCATTGATATTTACCTTAGATGTGTATTCCAATAATTTGATTTCCTCATGAGTATTCCTTATTATCAACGATCGAGAAGTTACGAGGTCCAATTAAAATCCATCTTGCAGCGAACACAATCATAGCGCACATCTATGGAAGGCCATCGCCGCCATATATCGCAAGCGAGCTTGCGGTACTGGTTAGTAGCTTACGGTAGTTAGTTGTAGTGCTTGCGTTACTGAGTAGTAGCTTGCGGTAGTTAGTTGTACGTGCTTACGTTAATGGGGCGTTACTTGCGGTAATTGGTAGACCAATTACAGAGCAGGATTTTTGCTTACGTAAACAAAACGGGATAGACAGTACCGCATGTTGAACATGTTTACGTATATTTAACTCTGGCGAATCAGAGCACTAGTTATAGCGGGCCGCCGAGTAGCCTTTTCGGCCGTGTCGCGAAGTTTGTTATGCAAAGGTACACGATCGGGGCGAGTATGTGTTAGTGTTACAGTATAGTTCGTACTATTTAGTCCTTATAAGACTGGTCTGTATCTTTTAATCATACTTTATAACTCTCAAATGGAAAATTCTGGCATTTTACTCTCTGAAAAGTTTACAGTTTGAACACCAAAAAAGGGAAACAGATATGGCGCGGGACGGAGCTATAATAATTGTATGGGGCTTCTTAGCCCGACCTGGCCTGTCAATTCATTACAAATATTTTTTAATACGTCTTTTCGCAAGCAAGGAGGGGGTGGGGGGGAGGGGCTCAGGCTGTTTTGCAATTTAGGGCGTGGACTGAAAGGGAACTAAAAAGAATTGATTGGGAGTAGGTCTATTTTTAATATTTTTTGTTTTATTTAGGCCGCAGATCTCTGCAGATGAGCACACGGAATGCACACGAACCAAGCGTAAGCCAGGCGGGGATCTAGGGGAAAGGTGGGGCCCAGGGAGCCTTCCCCCCCAAAAAAATATATTAAAACAATTTTTTTTTTTTTAATTTAAAAAAAGGAGAGAGGAGAAGGAAAAGTAGGGAAAGGGAAAGAAGAGAGAAAGGGAAAGAAAGAAGAGGAAGAAGAATAAAAAGGGGAAAAGAAGGAGATCGGGGGGGGCCGAAAGGACCTTGCCCATGCTGTTGCCTCCCCCTCCCCCTCCCGCAGCAAAAACAGAGAGCAGGAAGGAAAGAGAAAAAAAAAAGAAGGAAAATAGGAGATAAAGGGAAGGAAAAAAGAGGAAGAAGAAGAATAAAAAAGAAGGGGGATATCGCCGACCAGTCGTGGATCGGGGGGGGGGCAAAATGCCCTTGCCTCCCGCCTCCCCCCCCCCCCCACCTCAGCAAAACAAAGAAAGAAAGAGAGAGAGAGAGAGAGAGAAAGAATGGATAGGAATGGAAGGGGAAGGATGAAAGAGAGTGAAAGAAAATATAAAGGAAGAAGACAAGAAAAGGGGAAAAGAAGGGAAAATAAGTTGCGATTTGTATCGCTTCTTTTTTCGTCATTGAGACCAAGCGCCAAATACGCACCTGATCAACCCTGGCGTACTGCAAGGGGGGGGGGGCTTGGGGCATTTGACCCCAACAAAATTTCCAACGTGGTTTATTTCTAAATCAATACCAGTGATTTACAAATTTTGCTTAAATGACATAATTTTTCGGGATTTTTCCTCGCTTTTTAGTTCACTAAATTTGTGTATGCATTTGTTGGAAAATAACAAATTAAAAAATTTACAGTCAGGCAAGAAATATGCTTATTAAGAGGCCATTATGCCAGGGTCCGCAGAACGGTGGGGCTCAGGGGGCTTGACCTCCCTCCCCCTCTTTGTTTAAAAAGTATATTAAAGAGAAATAGAAAGAAAGATAGAAAGAAAGAAAAAAGAGTGACCTGCAAGTGTCACAAATAAAGTAATTAAATGCCTAAAAAACCCTGGTCCCCACCCAGGGCTCTAAGGCGGGCTTTTGCTGATTACACCACTGCTGGAAACCATAACGTACCGATATTTGGCTCGCATGATTTTAAATCCCCTCCCCCCCTGAGAAATCCTGGATCCGTGCCTGCATTTGTTTATGAATATAATGACTGTGATCTGTCCATAACACAAGATACCCTTTTGTAATTTGATGGTTTATTTTTGGTTCTGAAGTTTATAAATGAGAAATAAAGAATATTACGGACTACCACAACCTCATGCTTCGGGATCTGAACCACCCATCTCATGATGCCATATTAGAAGAAATTGAATTAAACTCAAATGGGAACCTTCCATAGTTCTTACAAAGTCCGTGTTTATTGATTAATGAACCATTGCCCTTTAAGTTGACTAGTTTCATGTATTGAGATAAATATAAGAACATAAATAAATAAAATCATATGAGTTAGAGTACTAATAAGTAGCTAGGCCTATTAGACATTGTAACAATGGCGATACAAATATTGTAAATAGTCGTCAATGAAAGTTGACCACTTCACTTTTCTCTTGAAACTTGAATATGGTCCAATAAACGTTTGTGTCTTTTTTAACTTACCGCCATCAGAATAATAATAATAATAATACATAACATTTATTAGGCGCTTAATACTGATGTTTCTAAGCGCACAGTGTTCTGATTAAGAGAAGACTATAACCCGTAGAATTAAATTAGAAGAAAAAGCAAAAATACAAAAGTAACATAGATAAGGTAAGAAAAACAGTGGCAATCAACTAAATAAAGACAAATATGGTGCGCACCTCCATTGACCGACGCACAACTGCAATTTACAATTTGAAAAGATAGGTTTTGAGTAGAGATTTGAATTGAGATACAGAGGGGGCGCAGTGAATAAAGGCGGGCAGTTTGTTCCAGAGAGCGGGGGCAATAACTGAAAAGGCGCGGTCACCATACCGGGTGTTAGTGCGGGGTCCAGGTGTTAACAGTAATGTGGAAGATGAACGAAGTGTTCGTGACGACGTACGGGAACGTAAGGATATGAGATCGGAAAGGTAAGAGGGGGCTAAGCCATTGATAGCTTTGTAGCACAGGAGAAGAATTTTGAAGGATATGCGGTGGTGAATTTTAAGCCAATGTAGTGAGTTCAATATTGGAGTTATGTGCTCTGATTTACGCGAGAGAGTCACAAGCCGAGCAGCGCTATTCTGTACCCTTTGAAGTGGGACTAGATGTGACTGAGGGAGGCCAGAAAGAGAAGAATTACAGTAATCGATATGGGTCGAGACAAAAGCATGGACTAATTTTGAAGTTGTGGGTCGGTCAAGTAGCCTCCTGATTCTACTGATCTTATATATACCAAAGGAAGTGTGTTGTTTGAAAGTAAGATTGCTGTCAATATTTAAACCAAGGTCACGCACAGAAGCACAACAACTGAGAGAGCCATCACTCATAACAAGATCAGGAAAGGGGTCTGAGTTCCGAAATTTAGAAGTAATATGAATCATTTCAGATTTTGAATCATTAAGGCAGAGACAGTTTTGAAAAGACCAGGTTTTGATTTCATTGAGGCAACTGGTGAGTTTGTTCGCGGCTACTGTCCTGCTGTTTGGGTGAAGAGTTACATAAATCTGGGTGTCGTCTGCATACATAGTGTGTTGAATATTCTGATGAATTCATTTTTCTTCGCTGGATGTGCCTATTGGAATTCTCTTCCCAACGATATAAAAGAAGCCCCTAGTCTTAGCAATTTTAAACGTAAACTTAGGAAAACATTAATCAGCCAATACTCCCCACCAACAAGCCAAGCTCAAAAATCTAAACCTACGGAAAGATAAAACAAATCTTTCCTTTTGTTATTCCTCCTTTCCTCCTTTTTTGTTTCTTTTTTAAGAATAATCTAAACAAGCCTAACGACCTGGTGGTGTACCTGCCTCCTGTCCCCATCTCCTTCTTCCTGCCTTTCTCTCGCTCTCTATTTCTCTCTTGCTCTCTCCCCTTTCTCTCTCTCTCTCTCTCTGTTACTATATTTATCTTACTTTTATTTTTACTTTTACTTTTTTTTTTTTTTTTTTTGTATTCCCTTTTAGTGTGTTTTACTGGTATTAGCTTTCGACCATAATTATTTAAGCGTATCCATGTAACTAAGTCAGGGGCTTGCCTCATACAAGCTCTGCTTTTTTAGCAAGCCCCTCCGTTTTGAATTACTTCATCAAGGTCATTTTTTTTCTATTGTTCAGTACTGTTTTTTCCCAATATTTCTTATCAACTAAATTTTGTTCTACATAATACTGAATTTACTTTGTTTATATTATATTTGACTGTATTATATTATGTCTGTTTATATTTTGTTTGTTTTGAAACGGAAATAAAATCTGAATCTGAATCTGAATCTGAATAACATTTGAGAGAGGGCTGGTGTAAAGAATAAACAGGAGGCCGGGGGCCGACCACGGAACCCTGAGGAACGCCGCAGATGAGGGGAAATGATTCCGAGTTGGTGTCATTGATGATCACCTTCTGAGTTCGGTGCATGAGATAGGAGCGAATCCATTGAAGTACGGTGCCGGTGATGGAGAAGTCGTTCTCTAAGCGATGGAGTAACAGGTCGTGGTTGATAGTGTCAAATGCGGCAGTGTAATCAAGCAAGATGAGGACAGCTTCATTACCCTTATCTACAGCTAGAAGTAGGTCATTTAGGACCTTGACAGTTGCAGTCTCAGTAGAATGATGATTCCGATAGGCAGATTGGTGGATTGGAAACAAACCGAGATTGTCAATGTGGGCTTTCAGCTGTAGTGACACAATACGTTCCAAAACCTTCCCAAGGAATGGCAGGTTTGCGATGGGCCTGTAGTTCTTAAGTCCATTCGTGTCGAGACTCGGCTTCTTTAGGAGGGGAAGAAGCAGAGAAGTCTTAAAAGACTCTGGAACTATTCCGGATGATAACGAGAGATTGAACA